TCATGACATCTTCCTTCCTTTTCTTTTTTTTTTCTTTTTTCTTTCTTATTTCACAGGATCTCACTATGCAGCTCAGGCTGCCTTCAAACTCACACTGATCCTCCTGTCTCATGACCCAAGCTCTGTAAGGACTACACCACCACACCAACATATTATTATCCCACCAAATCCCCATGATATCCTATGAGGTAAGGTCTTTTTTAGCTCAGCTTTACAGTTGAGAAAACAGCCACAGAAAAATTAGCCACAGCCAGCTTGGGCCAAGGGTGCATATCTACTTTTTATTTTATTTTATTTTATTTTTTTGGTGGAGCCAGGGATTGAACTCAGGCCTTTGCACTTGCCAGGGAAGCGCTTATTCCACTGAGCCATCTCCCCGGCCCCTGCATATCTACTTATTCAGGAGCATCCTGCTTTTGCAACCTATGACTTAACCCCCAACCTAAGGAATCTGCTTTCTATGAAGACACCTAAAGCCATGGCCAAGTGGACAGCTTTGTACACCTATGTAAGCTCGAGCAGCAAATGGTTCCCCATGTCCGTGTGTAACCACTTGATCCCTGGGCACTGTCTGTCTGCACTGCCACACTGCTCACATCCCCAGGTAGATGCAAACCCAGGACTCCACACAGGGATGAGAATTGAGTCACTGTGGGGCTGAGGAGACAGCTCAGTGGTCTAAACACCTGCCTAGACAAGTGCAAGAACCCAGGTTCAATCCCCAGTACCACGTGCTGTGCCAGCCACTAGGACTAGGTGTAGTGGTACACACCTGTAATCCCAGTGCTGGGGAGGCTGAAACAGGAGAATCACCATGAGTCTGAGCTGTGTAGTTAGATCCTGTACCAAATACATTAAAAAAAAAAAAAAAAGAATTGAGTCACTGCAACAGTCCTGTAAATCAATCCTGGTTCTTTGGAAAACACCTCCCCTCGACCCGAAGGTAAGGAAAAAAAAAAAAAAAAAAATATATATATATATATATATATTTGTTTTCATATTGTATGGCCTTGTGTGTGCTAAGCACACACTATTCAGCCACATCCCAGGGTCCCAGAGGCATTTTTTAAAACATTTGACCATGCTGTGTAAATGGGCATTCTTCTGTATAGCTGAGTAATGTGGCAGTGAGTACAATTAAACTCCAGGCACAGAGGCAGGCTCTGCTGGTGTAGGTGAAAATGCTAAAAATTAATATAGTATACTCTTGTTTTTTGTTTTGTTATTTTAGACGGGGTTTTTATAGTCCAGGCTGGCCCTGAACTTGTAGCAATCTTTCTGCCTCAGCTTCCCAAGTGCTGGGATTATAGGCATTTGCCACAGTGCCTGGCTTAAAGTAGTGCACTTCTACATGCTCCATTTAAATAAAAAATGAGAAAGAAGAGGAAGAAGAGGAAGAAAAGGAGGAGGACAGCAGGCATGATGGCACATGCCTGTAATCCTAGCACTTGGGATGCTGAGGTACAAGGAGCTTTGTGCATCTGAAACCAGCCTGGGCTACAAAGTAAGCTCAAGGCCTGCCTGAACTGCATAGTGAGACCCTGTCTTGAAAAGAAAAGAAAAGGAAGAGGAAGAAAAGAGAAGGAAGAGATGATGGAGGAGGAGGAAGGGAAGGAAGAGAAAATAAATCCCATAAAAGGATTACGTGCCCTCAGTATTGGGGATTAAATTTAGGGGCACAGCATCACCCTGCACTTTTTCTGTTTTGAGTCAGGGTCTCCCAGAAGCCCCAGCTTCTCTGCCTTATGAAGGAAGGATGTGGAACAAGGCTGCAGGCTGCAAGGGCACAGTGCTCTGAGGGAGGAGCGGGGCTCCTGTCTTCCTGAGAGAGCTTCCTCCAAGACTGCCCTTCCACCCAAGGATGTTTACCCTGCACCTGCTGCTGTCTCCTCCCAACCTCTCTAGAGATCTAAGACACAGTCTGGATTTTTAATTTTGTATTGGAGTAAAATACACAGAGCATATATCTTAGCACTTTAACCACTTGAAGGGCACCATGGAGTGGCAGTAATGGACTCACTCCCATCTCTAGGCCCTTCACATCTTCCCAACTGCTAACTCCTCTGTACCCAGTAGACGAGACTTCTGCCCTCCTCCCCAGGCCCTAGTTTCCTCTAGTCTATCTCTGTGATGATACCTGTTATAGATTACTTATACAAGTAAATCAATAATATTTGTTCTTTTGTGTCTGGCTTTTTTTTTTTTTTTTTTTTGTATCAGGGATTGAACTCAGGACCCTGTGCTTGTCAGGCAAGCACTTATTCTACTGAGCTATTCCTCCGACCCCTGTGTCTGGCTTATTTCATTTATCATGTGTTATGTTTTGTGTCCAGTTGTCCCTGCAAAGCCTTACAGTCATGGAGTGGCCTCTGGAGTTTGTGACTGATTCTTGCTCCAATGCTGCCATTGCAGGTGTGAGTGCTACACCCTGGCCCTGGGGTGGGTGATCTGCATTACAATGTAAGGAGGGGAGAGGGGCTGCCTAGAAGCCACAGCTGCTGCCCTTTCCTTTGCTTTTTACTTTTGCTGAAGCCATTAACAGCTACTCTATGCCTTGTGCTGCTCTGCCTTGGAGCCAGCTGGGTATGGACTGAAACCTCCACTAACTGTAAGCTAAATAAACCTTTCCTTCCTTAACTCTGGGTGTTGGGTATTTTGTCCCAGCAAGGAGAACAGAACAGAATAATTGGAAAGAGCATGTTTTAAAGGGGCTCATCCATGCTATAACACAAGAATTTCATCCATTTGATTTTGGTTTTAGTTTGGCTTTTTTGAGACAGGGTCTCCCTGTGTAGTTCACACTGGCCTTGGACTCAAGATGATTTTCCTGGCTCAGCTTCCTGATACTGGGATTACAGATGTGGGCCACCATGACCAACTAGAGAATTTCATGCATTTTTAAGGGCCAGATAAGATTGTGTTGTAGGTCAGGCATGGTGGCACATGCCTATAATTCCAGTACTCAGGAGGCTTGATACAAATGTTTTGTTTTTTTTTTTAAATTTATTATTATTTATTTTATTTGTGTGTGTGTGTGTGGCCAGCTCAGCCCACCAGGGGGCAGGGCTGGCTGGCATGTGGTGCTGGGGGATTGAACCGAGGTCCCTGTGCCTTGCTTGGCTTAGCTTGTTCTAAGTAGGTGCCTTAGACCACTGAGCCATCTCACCAGCCCGGTAAGCTTGTTCTAAGTAGGTGCTTTAGACCACTGAGCCATCTCACCAGCCCCAATACAAATGTTTGGTGTGTATACAAATATGTATTCATATTATTAATGTATATAGTGTGCAAAGACAAATGCAACAAACTGCTAATTTATGAATTTAGGTCAGTGGTTCTTGAGTGGGGTGATTCGTCTCCTGGGGGACATCTGACAATGTACAACCATGCGGCTGTCACATCCAAGTGTGCTGCAGCAGCTGGCAGGTGGGGCAGGAGGCTGACGGACAGCCACACCTCAGCATGTGCTGCCAGACATCCTAGGACCCCTGGGGCAGCACACAGGGACATCCTGCCTGAAAGGTCAAGAAGGCCAAGGGTGGGAGTCCTGCTCTAGGCAAAGGATCTGGGTATTCACTGTATTTTCTTTCCAACTTTCTATAGGTTTGAAACATTTTAAAACACAAAATAGGAAGCTGGGTCTGGTGGCACACACAGGTAAATCCAGTACTCAGGAAGAAAGCAACAAAATCTACAAAGTTGGTTAACATAAATAAATCAACAGTGAGAGAAGAGAAACGTGTGTGACAGAATGATGAGGAAGCGAATGGAACTGGAACTCTTCTAGGATCTTAACCATATGGGGAGACGCAGGAGGAGGAGTGTGAATGCTCACGAGCACCCTGTTCAACTTGCCCAGGCCTGCAGAAGGCTCACTCTGGATGCCCCCATTAGAGACACCCAACCCAACGCCCCACCACAGGAGCACAGCTGAGGGCTGAGTGGGAGGTGCTGACTGCAGCCGCTCACCCAGTACTGCTGCAGTACAGCCAGGACCCACGAAGGGATGGACTGTCCGTCGAGTCCCTCCTCCTGTCACACCCCGAGAATGAAGGGTCTCTTGAAGCTGAAGTTCAAAGCGAGCCCACAGTAGGACATAAAGTGGAGCTGAAGTTATAGAAAAGCACGAACCTTCAGCAAGCACACTTGCGGGGTGGAGGGGTGACAGGCAGAGCAGGAGAAAGGGCCGGACGTTCTGGCTGGCAGAATCACTGGTCTCACCACCACTGCAAGAAGGAAGGATCACAGCCCTGCTGCTGAGGGCCTTGGCACTAACATGGACCCTGATGCCTCAAGGGCTGCCCCAAGGCACCCAATTTATGTTAATTACAAGGAAATCAAATCAGTGTGGTTCCCTGGTTGCATAGCCACATTCCATGTGCTCAGTCACCACAAGTGGCTCCTCCCTAGGGGATTGGACAGTACACATATACTTATTTACTTTGGCTTTTTGAGATAGCCTTGGTACAGGCTGGCCTTGCGCTCACTATGTAGCCCAGATTGGCTTTGAACTCACATCAATCCACCTGCCCCAGCTTCCTACTTGCTGGGAATACAGGGATGTACCACCACACAGGTTCTTTTAGTCACCACTTATGTGTCCAGGAAGCTCACTGCACTGGCGACACTCTTAAGTCTTTACCAGGGTCTGTAGCTAAGTCTAACCAAAGAGCTAAAAGAAAATTCCAGCCGGGCATGGTGCTACATGCTTGTAATCCCAGCGCTTGGGTGGTTGAGGCAGGAGGACTGCTGTGAGTTCAAGACCAACCTGGACTACCTAGCAAGATCTTGTCTCAAAACATTTTATTTTTATAAAGAAAAAATAAATAAATAAAAAGGAAGCATGCACAAAGCCTGGAGTTCAGCCCAGGGTTTGAAAAACAAAAACAAAAACAAAAACAGTGCCTAACAAGGGAGTTCATAAATAAAACCTGAGCATGTGCTGCGCCTTCCCTAATAACGAGTCCCTTCTTGCAAAAGAAAACAACTCATGCAAACTGGCACTGCCTTTCCAAAGCAAGGTTTAATTCTGACACAGAATTACAATGATAGTTTTTAAAAGTACTAGAAATTCTACCACACTGTGTAGGCATTACTCAGGACTTGTTTCCCTTAACTTTTGAAAAACCTCCCCTTAGTTACACCTGGGCTAACTGAGGAAGTAAAATGCATTTTTAAATCCTAATATACCATGGAAAAGCACACTACGCATGCACTTCAAATGTGTTTGGTGAGGTCCATTCGCCTATGGTTGTGCTCCGTTTCTATCTCCGCCTCTCTTTCCTTAGGTCTTGTTCTTGCCCTTTTTCCCCTTGGGTGCTCCGGGCCAGCGGAAGCCACGCAGCAGGAGGCAGTCGGCTGCGTTGTGCGCGATGTAGTACAGGTTCAGCATGGCCGCGGGGCTCAGGATGTCCACTTCAGGCTTCTTCTGCTTCTTTCCATGGGACTTGCCTGAGCCTTTGCCTTTCTTCCCTTTATCCGGCTGTCAAGACAAACATAAATGGGGATAGGGTTATCTGCTGTAAGTTGGTCATGATTTCTCACATTTCATTAATTGGATTTAAGAAAAAAAGTTCTAAAAGGAAAAAAATCTAAACGGCAACAACAAAAAGGTCACATAGAATGGAAGCTGTCAAGGTTTGTAGACCACACTATGTTCCCGGCCCCTGATTTTTTTGTTTTTGAGAAAAGGGTTTAGCTATGTAGCTCAAGCTGGCCTTGGACTCACTATATGGTCCAGGCTGGTCTTTAACTTGTGGCAATCCTCCTGCCTCAGCCTCCTGAGTGCTAGGATTATAGGTATGTACAACATGCCCTGAAGTTACATTTTCTTGCATGCCAACTAGATCTGCTTGAAATAATTGCATGCATTTTGTGTGTGTGTGTGTGTGTGTGTGTGTGTGTGTATCTAAATTGGTTTCAGAACTAAAATTCACATAAATGTTTAACATTTTTATTCCAAGTTCTCATCTTTTTGTAGAAATTGGCAAACTGCTTCTAAAATTTATATGGAAATATGAAGACATAAAGACATTTTTATTCAAAGTTCTGGTATTTGTAAAAGTTTCTAAAATTCATAGAAAAATGGAAAGGACTTTGAAGAGAGACAAAGTTGGAACATTAACACTACCTTATTTAAAGGGTTACTATAAAGCTGTAGAATCAAGATGGTATAGTAGTGGTATCAAGAGAAATAAATAGATTAATGGAACAGAATAAAAAGTCCAGACATGAACAACTGATTTTCAAAAGTGTAAAGTAACTCAGTGAAGCAAGAATAATCTTTTTTCTTTCTTTTTTTTCTTTTTTTGTACTTTAGGGAAGGGTCTACATGGTGTTCAGGGTCTTACTACTAGATCGGACTCTTAGTGAGCCGCCTGTTTACAGCCTCCCAAGAGCTGGGATTACAGGCATGTGCCACCATGCCCGGTTTCAATTGCCTCTCAGTGTGCCCCTGGGGCGGGGCCGGCAGGGCAGGCCCGGGAATCAAACCCCTGGCCCTTGTGCCTGTTTGCAGGCACTTTAATCTGCTGAGCTATTTGGCCGGCCCTTAAGGTTAGTCTTTTTAACATATGGAGCTGCATTAATGAATAACCATTTTCAACAACAACAAAAAAAACCCCCTAAATCAATACTTGTACCATATTTTAAAAATTACCTCAGAATGGATCATAGACCTAGATATAAATCAAAAGGCATAAAACTTTGAACTCACTATATGGTCCAGGCTGGAAGAAAATATAGAAGACTTTTGTGGTCTTTCAGGTAGGCCAAGATTTCTTGGGTGTAACACCAAATTATCAAAATCAAGTATCACAATCCATGAAAAACAAGTATATAAGCTCACCATCAAAATAATTATGCATTAAAAAAAAAAAAAAAAAAAGGGGACCGGGGAGATGGCTCAGTGGAATAAGTGCTTCCCTGGCAAGCGCAAGGGCCTGAGTTCAATCCCCGGTTCCACATTAAAAAAAATAATAATAATAATTATGCATAGCTTGGAGTGTCAGGACAGATCTGTAATTCCAGCACTTGGGATGCTGAGGCAGGACAATTGCCATAAGTTCAAGGGAAGCCTGCACTACATAGTGAAATCCTGTCTCAGACATTAAAAAAAAAAAATCCTTTTTTCTTAGCAAAAAAAAAAAAAAAAAAAAAAAAAAAAAATTACACAGGTAACAGAAATCACACCCCAAAATATTTACATCAAACTCTGTAAAATCCTAGAAGTAAAAAAGTAGAGTCAGAAAGCAGCAGATTAGTAGGTGCTTAGGAGGGACAAGATAAGGGGCTGACTACCAAGAAGCACAGGAGACTTTCAGGGTGATGGATGTTTATGATCTTTGTTGTGGGGGGCATGAAGGATGGAAACCAGGGCCTTTCCACTGAGCTATATTTCCTTTTTTTTTTTTAATTTGAGAGAGGGCCTTCATAAATCCCTACACTGCCCAGGCTTGGGTGGAGCTTGCAATCCTCCTGCTTCAGCTTCCCAGGGAACTGGGGTTACAGGTGTGTACCACAAAACCCAGCCAAATTTATTACCTTAATAGCAGTTGTAGCTTAATGAATGGAGACATATGCAAAACTTATATAGTTATTTTAAGCAAATATAATTTATTACATATCAAATATACTTTATAGGGGCTGGGGAGATAGCTCAGTAGAATAAGCACTTGCCTGGCATGTGCAAGGGCCTGAGTTCAATCCCCAGTTCCACCAAAAAAACCCCCAAAACAACAAATATACTTTACAAATCTGAATAAACTATCAGAGGGGGGCAGAGTGAATTTATGGTTTCTGGGCCCTTCCATTCTTTTGGTTGCTTTTGGCTGTTCTGGAACTCAGAATACAGCTCCCAATTTCAACCTTGCTAAGTGTAAGGAAGGTCCTCCGTTTGGTTCCCACTGCCTGGCCTCGTTTCTAGTTTCCAGTCTTACCAATGTTTTCCCAGTGCAGACGCTGCACATAGTACGTAAGTAATTCCTATTTTTCTCTCCCACCTGGCTTCTTTAGAAAAACCTGATACAGTGACTATTTTGTCTATAATTAGGGTAACCATGTAGTTTACTGTCTAAACAAGGACACATTCACAAACACAAATGAACATAAACTAGGACTATCCAAGCAATCATTTCCCCATCTGAAAACCTCCCAACAAATTCTTGCTCCCTGCAGTATGTATTACTTTGTTTCCGTACCTTAAGCACTTTTCACTACTTAATAGTAATTGTTTATTGTCTCTTTTTCTAGACAGAGTTTTTGTCTACACTTAACTGAATTCTCTGGCCTAGACCAAAATCTGGCACATGGTAGAGATAAATAAATATTTGCTGAATAAATAAACTGCAACTCATGCAATGGTGGGAAAGGCTTTAGAAAACAAACATGGATTTCTGCTTTTCTGGATTGATTACAAGATGCTTCCTTTTAAAGTATTTAACAAGGATGTACAGTGTACCAGGCCCTGATTAGATGCAGAGTAAAGCAGATCTGAGGTACTTGATCATGATGCTTGCAGTCCACTGAGGGAGAAAAGGTGCCAGCCACCTAATCACAAATGCCATTTACTCACCAACTGTGCTGGGAAGGAGGAGCTAAGGAGTAAACGGCATTATGACAGCACAGGATGGGCAGGGACAGCAAGGAAGGGTCTCTGAAGACTGGACAGAAAGGTGGACAACTCCTAGGTAGGGCATGTTAAGAGCCTCACAAAGGCTCTGAAGTTGCAGAGAAAATGCAAAGATGAACCAAGAAAGCAAACAGGGTCTGTGTGGCCAGCCTACAGGGAACCAGGGACCACTGGGAAGAGCTAGTTGGGAAAGGTAGGCAAGGCCTGCAGACTGTTAACTACCACCCTGGAACTCTATCAAAGGAGCTGAGGAAAGCTATTGACTTAAGGGCTTTGTAAACCATTCTGCTCCTTTCTGTGGCCCCTGAAAGAAATCAGCAGTACCAACCACGTAAGGTAACCCTAGAAAAACTCTCCACTGAAATCAAAATTGGGACTTCTACACTGAGGAACTGGAAGGATCACAGAGACTGAACAAAGGTGTTTTTACACCACAATGTAATGGGGCAGGGAGCATGGCTGTCCAGGCAAAGCACCTTAAGTTGAAGGGCAAAGGATTACTGGCACTTAAGGAGCAAGAGAAAGCAGGAGGGACTCGTGAGCTGGGTCTTGAAGGGAAGAGCAAGCCGGGCCTGGTGATGCACACTTAGGAACTCAGCACTAGAGAGCCTGAGGCAAAAGAATCACTGCGAGTCCACGGCCAGCCTAGGTTAGATAGTGAGTTCAAGGCCAGTCTGAACTACACAGCAAGACCCCCCACATCTCAAATCAAAGCAATAGCTTCAGATGCACCGGGTGCAGGAAGCTTTTAGAAGAACGTGGGTCTACTGCAGGATGCGTCTTTGGTTTATTAAGCGGGGACGATAATATGGGGGATAAAACAGAAGAGACTGAAAAGGGGAAGGAGGTCGCAAGTGTCTGCATGAGGGATAAGAAACAGGACTGTTTATGACAGCAGGCAGTAAGCTGTCCAAGGAGCTGGAACTTTTAGTCCTCCCGCCTCAGACTCCCAGAGTGCTTCGGTTTACAGGCGTGCACCACCACGCCCGGCTACTTTCTCTTTGGAGTCTGCAGACTCCCCCAGGCCCGCGGCAGGTGCAGCCAAGCGCCAGGACACTCGCGGAGGTCGGGTACTGAGCCCTGGGCTACCACACCGGGGACTGGCTTCCTTCCTTGCCCCACACTGGCGCACCTTCTGGGTGCGAACGACGTTCCACGGAGTCACGGAGGGGTTTCAGCCGGCCCTGCCGCCGCCGAGCCGCTGGGTAGCCGCGGCGACCCGGGTCCCGCTCCCCGCCGGGTCCTGGGCCTCGGTCGGACCGCCCACCCTCGGGGCCAGGACGCGAGCAGGCGTCCGCCTGGGAGCCTCCCCGCCGGGCGGGCAAGGATTACCATGGCCGCCTGCGTCCCCCGCGCGGGTGCGTGTGGCCTCGGCTCCCGACCCCGGCCGCAGCGGGGGATCAGCCGCTGACCTGATGGGGCGATCGGGGAACCAAGCCGACAAGTCCCGCGATCCCCGCCGTACCAAAGCGCGCGCCCCGACGCCGCCTCCCAGCACACCAACGGCGCCTGCGCACACCTGTCGCTCACCGTTGCCAAGCCAACGGGGGGCGGGGCCAGCCGTGCACTGTGCGTCCGACGCGGACTCCACCAAGCCAGAGCGCTTTTGGGAAACGGGAATAGGAATTTTTGAGGGTCCACGCGAGAATACCTTGTGGGAAATGTTTGTACAGGGCGGGTGCAAGCTCAGGGAGGTGAGGGAAAGGTGTCCGCAACCAGGGGGTGGAGGGTGGGGGGGTGGACCAAGGATAGGTACAGTAGAGACGATTCTGCCTCCAGCATTGCGAGTTTATCCTCTCCGCCGTCCCCAGGCTGGGGAGAGGCTCCTCATTCCTTTTTCACTTTTTTCATTCGTTTCTATTCAACAAGCAGATAGGAAGTGTCTGTCCTGGGTTTGACGCCCTTCTAGGTCCTGGAGTGAGACCTGAGTTAAGACAGAACCCTTGTTCTTAAGGGCTGAAGAGGTTGGGGGTGGGGCGAAACAGAGTGGCGACAGTTAAGTGACAAATGCTCTGCGGTGGGGTGCAGTGGGTGCTTTACGTTGATGTACCTGCCTGCTCGTTTCATCTTAGTTTTGGGGGAGCTGGATATGGAACTCAGGACTTGCTAGGGTAGCGCTAGGCCACTGAGCCACACCCTAGCCCCAGGGTAGCTCCTGGAGATCTGGAGAAGGCTCTGAGGAGGGAATGTAGAAGCTGAGAGCAGGAAGACAAGGAGCACACAGGAGGCTTTGTGGGTACTTCTACAAGCCATAAAAGGCATGGGCTGGGGAGATAGCTGGGCGGTTTAAGCACCTGCCTGGCAAGTGCAAGGACCTGCCTGTAATCCTAGGGCTGGGGAGGATTGAGACAGGAGGATCATTACGAGTTTGAGTTGCATAGCGAGACCCTGTACCAAATTTAAAAAAAAATAATAATAATTAAGAGACAACAAATTGATTCTAAAAGTCCAACTCTTAGGAATCTCAGCCTACTCCATCTAAAACACTTCTGATAGCAAATGTGCATCTTTCTCTCTTTTGGACAATGGCATCCGTGGCTGGGTTGGTACCCAAGCTGTGGACTGCTCATCTTTGACTCCTCCCTTTCTCCTCTCGCAGGCTCCTGTCGGAGCCGCCTCCTAACCTCCTTCCACCCCTCTCTAACCGCGCAGACTCGCACCCTTAGCGCGGCACCCATCTCCTTACGCAGTCCCATTTCCCTCTCCTCTGGACCACCACCCTGTTCCGGTTGGTACCGTCACTTTTTCAACTTATTGCAGGGGTCCACTGGCTACCCCTGCTGCACCTTGGGCTTTTGAGCTCTGTCCCAAAGCACAGATTTAATAGTGTCTCACCCATTTTCAAAAGCGGTCCATGACTTTCCTACAAAGGTAAGAACTCTCCCGGATGGCATTTAGGCTCTTCATAGTCCTGCGTTAGTCTGCTTTTCTGATTTTATCCTTGCTGGCCCTGCGCACTCCTCTGTCTTGGGGTTCTCTGTGCAGTCACATCCCCAGCCTTGCTCATGTACCCTCTACCCAGAATGCCCCCTCCTCCCTGCCCATCTGAAGCCTGCTCCCTCTTCAAGCCCAGGCAGACCGTACTGTCTGGGAACTCGTTAATCACTAGCAACATTCTGTGCCCATTAAACCTGACCTAGGCCTCTGGCATGGCACTTCTTACCTCCACGTAGTTAGGTACAGTGTCTTTTACTTCTCTTCCACAAACTTCCTTTAGGCTCATCATTGTATGCTACCACAGTAGTGATAGAAATTCAGCAATTTTATTTTATTTTATTTTTTTCTTTTTTGGCAGAACCAGGGATTAAACTCAAGCTCTTGCACTTGCCAGGCAAGTGCTTAATCTACTGAGCTATCTCCCCAGCCCCAAAATGCAGCAATTTTCTTTTTTCTTTTTAAGAAGTGGAATAATCTTCACAATTCAATTTATTCTACCAGCCCCAAGGACTTCTCATTGACCTTTGAGCCTAAGTTAATGATGCTACTGTCCTGCAGTAGTTTTTGTTGCTATAGTGAGATGCCTGAGGCTGGGTTCTTTATAAAGAAAGCAGGTTTATTTTGTTCACATTTTTGGAGACAGAAAGGCCTCGGGTGAGAACCTAATGCTGGATGGCTTTATGTTCAGTGACTGAATCAACTCCTGTGAGGCCCCACATCCTTAAGGTCCTACCGCCTCTTAATCTGGCCACACTGGGCACTAAGCTTCCAACACCCGAACTCTAGGGGGCACACTCCGCCCATGACATTTCCCCTCACATCCCTTGCCCCTTGTCTCTTGGATGTGCACGGTGTTCCTTGTTCACCCTGACCCCAGCCACCACATGTGTCTTTGTCACCTGAGACACAGTCCCTGACACCTGTAATTGAAGGAGGAGAGGCTTATTTTGGCCCAGGTTTTCAGTGCATAGTTGACAGGAGAAGAGCATGATGAAAGGTCCTGGTGGATGAAAGCTGCTCATGCATGGCAGCAGAGAGAGCTAGGCAGAATTGGGAAGGGTGACTTCTGTCACCCAGGCCTCAGTATCCTTTGGGAATTCACTTGTATGAATCCATCCCGTGAGGTCCTCATTGTGTTAGATCAGACTTTCATCTAAGTATCTTCTTAGGGGCTGGAGAGATGGCTCACTGGAATAAGCACTTCCGTGGCAAGTATAAGGGCCTGAGTTCAATCCCCGGTTCCACACACACACACACAAAAAAAAAAAAGCATCTTCATTTTATTTATTTATTTATTTATTTATTTATTTATTTATTTGAGACAAGGTCTTCCTATGTAGCCCCAGCTGGTCTCCAACTCTCAGTGATCCTCCTGCCAGACATGCACCACCACGCCAGGCTAAACTTCAATCTTGCAGCACTGCACACAGCAGGTGATATTAAGGGACAGCCTCCATGAGGCAGTTTGCCTTGACTATGTCACGGCGTTATCACGTCACTGTAGCCAGAGTGGAAGTTTCTGCTCTGTGCTGACTTGCACATGAGGTCAGAGGGTGACCTCTCTGGCAGAATCTGAGCCCCAGCTATGCTATTAACCACTAGATTATCCCGGAAGGTGCACTGGACTAACTTGAACATTCAAGTCTTGGCCTCATTCCTTATCAGTTGTGTGATTTGTGGCAGCTTTTTTTTTAGTTTTGGCTTCCTGTGAAGGTGACATGGTAAAATGAAAGGGAAAGTGGTTTGTTGATTTAAAGTCTTTCAGTACACCTTGCCTTAAAAAATGCAAGCTTGGGGCTGGGGATATAGCTCATTGGCATAAGCGCCTGTCTGGCAAGTGCAGCATCCTGAGTTCAATCCCTGGTACCGCAGGGGGAAAAAATGCAAGCTTGCTTTGCTGGGGACCGATAGGATGTAAAATGCCCCTGTGATTAAGAAAGTCACAGTGGGGGGACTATTCTTGGACCAGATGGACTGTTGCATGGGGGAAGGTTTCAGCGTGGCCCCCTGCAAGAGGTGAGGGTCTGCTGAGGATAGATTTGATTAGTATGACTTTGTCCCAGGCCAGGGCCAGGTTTACAGCTTCCCTCACCAAATATGCCATGCACCTTTTTCTTTTTTAAATTTTAATATTGGGGGTAGTACTCAGGGTTTTCATACTAAGCCCATTTTTTATTTTTGAGACAACATCTTGCTAACTCGCCCAGGGTGGGCTTAAACTTGTGATGCTCCTGCCTCAGCCTCCCAAAGTGTTACAGTGGCCTGAGCCACCAGGCTCTGTGTACGTGCATGTATCTTAAATTCCAGGTCACTCAAGAATCATCGTCTTCTGGGGAAATAGCTCAGAGGCAAAAGCAGCTGCCTGGAAAGCACAAGGTCCTGAGTTTGAGCCCTGGTACAAAAAAAACAACAACAAAAAACCATTTAGGGCTTGGAGGTATGGTTCAGTGAAGAGCACTGACTTGCTTGGCATGTGCAAGGCCCTGACAAGGCCTTGAGTTCGAAATGCTTAACAGTTAGGACTTAAGATAAATGTGTTTCTTCCACAAATAAACCTTCCTACATAAACTGGAAGGAATTGTTAAATTTAGATAACTATTCCACCTCACTTCAGAATAGCACTAGTTAATTTTAGCTATTTGTGAATACACATTCCTGTCTTCTCTATGAATAGGCAAGCTAACTGTGCTGTTCTCCAAAAAAAAGTTACCAGAATTGAAGCATACATTCTTAGAATGTCCAAATTTAGAATATTCTATCACTATCATTCTTAGAAATCACACTTAAAAATTCCTGTTTCCTCCCTTTTACTCTGGTAGTCTTCCCTTCCCTCTCTCCCTTCCTTCTTCCCTTCCTCCCTCCTCTTATTAAGTGCAGCTGCACTTCACTGCAGTCCACCTGGAGCCCTTTCCCCAGTAAAAAAGGAAGATACAGGAAAAATGCAAAGCTCTTTGTAGGTAATCTGCGCTCACCATAGGGTCTCACCAGGGTGAGGGTCTCAGCCTGCAGTAAGACCAGCTGGGCAGAGTAGGCAGGAATTATTGTGAACTTCAGAAAGGGACAGAGAGCAAATACTTCAGACTTAAGGGCTTTTCTTCCTATTTTGCAACGACTAAGATGCTGACTGTGTGTAAACAAATGAGCATGGCTATGGTCCAATAAAATTATTATAGAAACAAATTTGAGTTTTATAGAATTGGCATTGGCCATAAAACATTTTTCTCTCTCGATTCCCCCAACCATTTAAAATGTAAAAACTATTCTGGGCTTACGGGCTGGATGAAACTAGTAGTAGCCCTGGTGGCAGGGATGGAGGATGTGTGTGTGCCCAGCAACATGGACTCCCACTCACCAAGCCACTGCTGAATGCCCAGCACACCAGCAGCAGAGGCCAACACTGAGTCTTCAATATGACACCATTTCCTGGAGAGATCAGCCTGTGGCCTGACTGTGGGTTGATTCTGCTGGACCACTTCCACCATGAAAAGGACAGAGCTTTGTCCTCACTGGCATAGAAAC